TGTATATATATATATATATATGTATATATGTAGATATATAATTATGTATATATGTATATATAAGTATGTATATACTTATATATACATATATATATAAGTATGTATATATGTATATATATTATGTATATATATATGTATGTATATATGTGTGTGTATATATATAAGTGTATATAAATAAATATGTATATATGTATACAAATATATGCAATTGTATATGAACAAATATTTATATGTACACTGATACTTTTGAATATTTAATTAAATGTTATGTAAATATTCTTATAAATAATAGAATTATTGCTATTTTTCAAATGATAAACTACATTTAAAATGTATCATCATTTTAAATATTTTTTTTTTAACCAATAATTTTTTTTATTATTTTCAGATTATAAATCTTATAGTACCAGCATCATCAGGTTCTCAATATGGGAGCTTTTCCCAGTGGAAACCTGTATCATATTCAAAGAGTACACCGTCTCTGAGCAATGCACAACAGGTAATTTTTACTTTGGATGCTGTTAAATAAAAACTCTACTGTTCTTCCTCAGGGCTCAATGGACCTTTCTGCTAAGCCCCACCCCTTGGATATTGTTGCCAAGTTCCCACAAAATGACAGTGTAAGAGCATACACACACACACATGTGTTGTAGGACATGCAGAAATTCTTGGCACTGTTCTGATTGGTCAGTTGTTAAGTTTAATTGACATTCTGCAAAGATCCAATATGCTTAAGTATACAAAACTGTCTTGTTTTAAAAGTTATTGAATAGAACTTTTCTTAGTTGTAAGAAAAAAAAAATGCTTGAATTTTATAAAAAAACGTCCTTACAGGTATACAAATTCACTATTGTAGTCACCCATGCATCATGTTATGTGCCAACACAACAAAGTTGTAAAATAGGAATATACATCATATAGGTAATAATGTTTAAATGGTGCTCAAGGCTTGGTGATGCTGCATTAAAATTGAGGCTATCTAAAGTATAAAGTACGGAACATGTATATATTTATTGGAGCCTGATGTCATAGTGTAAAGTTTAAATCAATTACATTTTTCTCATCACTCGATCTGTTGATTTTCTTCTCCCCTTTCTGCATTTCATTTACTGTATTTATTTATGTAGGCACACAACACATGCATCAAAGCATTAGTGCATATACAGTATCACTGTCCTACTTGCAGGTGAACCCTTTAACAAAACAAACCAGGGGCGGATCCATCAATCAAGCTGAAAAATAAAAAAGGGGGAGACAAATTTGAGTTAAAGAGAGTAAGAGTTAAAAAGGGAGTGCATCCATGAGTTCAGTGGCGATACAGAAGTGAGTGAAAGGAAAGCTCGATTATTTACCACTTATTGGTGGGGCTCAGGTGGGTGTGGCAGCGTGAACTTCATATTGTTCCCCCTCCCCGCCCCCCCCCCCTCAGAAAATCTCTGGATCCGCCCCTGCAAACAAAGACACATGATGCTTTACACAAATTAATCTGAATATGAGGTTTAGAGGGAGTGGAGTTGTTTTGGTTGTGAGAAGAAATCCTGCAACACTGACAGGAATTGAACCTAGGATGACCCGTGGATAGGAAGGCAAGCACCAAGCTATTGAACTCCACTAAAGCAAATTTGTAATATATCTATATACCTTTTATAGCAAGTTCTAGTTTTTGATTTAAGTACTATCTAGCATTATTTACCTTTGTATTATTTTCAGTGCCATGAGACTGAAGTAACATCTTACAATGAAATATTGCCATCTAGAAGTCTTCTTCGTGCTTTCTTTGACATATCAAAGGTCAAGCTATCATCTCTTAACGTCACCTTCGGCACCGCGAAGGGTGACTTTTATAATAGTACTAACTACATTAGCTGGTAAGTGGTTATGTGCATATTAATTAAAAACTAGTCTATTTGGTGAATACTTACAGTTATGACAAAACTAATTAGCTAAACTAAATAAAAATCAAATGAACAGATAAAAATCAAATGAATAAAATTCAAGTGAACAGAAAATTAAAAGGAAAAACCAGAAAGTACAGAGAAAAGAACTACAGTAATTTAATTAAATGTATATGTCACTAAATGTAGGGAATACAGGAAATCCAATATGATGGTGTCAGAGAATTAACTTAACAGGTGGATAACGTGAATAAAAGATGCATTTAGAACCATTTGAAATACATTGCTAATGGATATTAGAATCAAATTGAACTTTAAAACCATTCATTTCGACCTTGACTACATTAAAAATAATATAAAATAATGAATTTATAAATATGTATAACACCAGTAAAAAGCAATCATGTTCTTCTATTATCAAGGCTACATACATTAGGAGCCAATCAAGGTTATGGGTTATAAATGTAAATAACAAAACAGTCATTGAGAACTTCTGAAACAAGAAAGCTTTTTCATATGACCACTGCAAATGTGTAGTAACAATGATGGGGACAGAGAACTCTTACCATGTGTGAAAAATGTACCACCACAGTGGTCACAGGTTCAAGGTCAAATACAGTACAGTAGCTTGTGGAATTTTGGCAAGGCATTTCTTCTATGTCTCTCTCTACCCAAGAGTATAAATGTTGAAAAAAAAATCAGAATTTGAACCCTAGATCTATGACAACATTCAGTTGCTCTCCCCACTGGGCTAAGGGCTGCTGTTATATTACTCCCTAGGACCAACACACTTTTAGTCCTACTAGCAACTGACCCTATAATCTTTTGAGTATAGACCTAAATTGCAGAAGTGGTTTGGTGCTAAAACGATTGTTTTCCTAACCGTGAGATCATGGTTTTATTTCTTTTCTGTGCATTTCGAGTTGAATGGCCAAGGCAGGGCCCACCATAATATCGGCGCTGGTTCAAACGGCTCTGGAGGTGGAGCAAGTCTTCTTGGATAAGGACTATAAATTGTGCACTAGAACCCAGTACATCTTTCGAGACAAGTAGGGGGTACCCCGGTGTAGTGGTTCATCTCAAGTCCCTGCCCTCATCCAGATGCTGAACAGGCGTTGATGAGTATCTACATAGATTTTGATTTCAGTTGTGTTCTTGAGAAAGCCACTTTATCTGCATTGCTTATCTCTGCCCTGGAGTATGTGGATACCTGGTTAAATGCCAAAATGTGAGCTGAGTTTGTGTTCCATAGGTGTTTAATCCAATGACTTAATAATAATAATAATAACAACTTTATTTTAAAACGGAGAAAACTTGTATCACCATATTGGGTTTATTTTTCACAAGGCTGTTTTTTTCAAGAAGATAAAAATGAAATGAAGAAACTTAAATTAAAAAAAAACAAAAAAACACATACATACTGTACATATTGAAATACATATTGAGATGTCAATCAAAAGTAAAATCAAAGAAAAGTCTAAAAAGTGATGTCATGACAATGCAAAACAGACTTATATACTTCGGTATATAAGTCTGCCATTATTATTATGACTACTAATTAATTTATGGATTTGTCGCAAAGATATCTGTAAATCAGCGCACGTTTCAATCTGTGTCTCATTGGCAATGATAACTTCTATATTTGATCCTTTTTAAAATGTGCCATGCAACGTTTAAATTCAATTTTCCAAATTCTACCACATATATCTTTAATTTCCAATAATATGAAACACATATTAATAATTTCAATAAAAGGAATTTCGTTTAAATAATTTTCTCTTCTTTATCCACCAGCCTAACAATACTATTTTTAATTAATTCTTTAATTTTGTTCTTTATTCAGGACAGCAACAATAGGATATGGTGATCCTCCAGTTGAAAGTGTGTCCCAACTTGTTATTATCATAATTTCAGCCGGCTTAGGTGTCCCAGTTTTAATTTGCATAGGAGGAGGAATATACACCTGCATCAGAAAGTGGAAAATGAGTAAATTGAAAGAATTATCTCGCTACCCCCCTGTTACGTCTGTGAACTAGAATTTGTTAATGTATTCAGGACTTTAAAAATTAGTTATTTCACCGAGAAGAAAGTCTCTGTTTAATTTAAAATTTATGTCAAATACTATGAAAGACAAATAATTATTCTATGATGTCCATAGAATAATTATTTGTAATCATTCGTAAGGTTTTCAAATAATTGAACCAATCATATTTAAGCTTATCCAAATGTTGTATTTAAAAATACTGTATTCAAATTTGTTTGATTGCCCAGTTTCTACTGATTTTTTTTTTTTAATAAACAAATCAATCAAAATTCAGCTATAAATTGAAATGCTATTATTTGAGAATATTGAGAACTTGATTAACATTTATGTTTTTGAAATTAAAACATGTTTTTTTAAATAAATTTTTTAACTGTTTTTCTGACTATTTTGTATAGTAAAACTTTATAATGTTGTCTTCAGTTTTAATGCAGATTTGAGTGTAGGTGATAGATTGGTAATTGAGGGTAGTATGGTTTCTCCACATCTGCATAAATATGCACACGTGCTGATGTAGGTGAAAATACTGAAGTTGGCTATTTAACTGCTGTTATTAAACAATTAAAATGTATGAAGTATGTTGATTGTCATCCACCTTGACAGGCAACATTTCTATAAATACAGTTCTGTCACTATGACCTGTTATCTTTTCAGTTTTTTTATATCATTTTTTTTTCACATACAGTATGTATATGATTCAGGATCTTGAATGCAAGTCATTCAGCATTTGTAATCTATAATTAAACAACTGGTAGATTCGTTGAAAGCATAATTGAGATTCAAGGAAGTTCAGTTAGGAAAGTGATGAGGGTGTTCTACAAAGAACACCTCTAGTCTTCTCCGACTTCATATTTATTTATTTTGAATTTTGTAATAAATGGTTAATTATTTGAATAAAATTAAATAAAATTCCACTGTATGTATTCACACACAAACAAAATATTTTTTTAATACTATTTAACAATTTGACCATAAATGTATATGCAAAATAGTTCTTTCTAAATATATTGTGATTTATTTCCATTACAACCATTCATAACATAAATATGTATTTTTCTTATTTTTTGGTACTACACTTGATACCAATTAGTAAAGAACCAATATGAAATATGTTCCAGTATGTACACAAAACATTTTTACTGCTGGTCAAATAATAAGTATTACTGTATTATGATAGCATTATTAATTTGCTCTGTATTTGAGCTACAGTGTAAATATTACATTTGCATTATGAGTCAGTGGCAGATCCAGGGGGTGGGGGAAGGTGATCTTCCCCCCCCCCCTAAGTTAACACAACCCCCTGGGAGCAGTTAAAAAAAAATAGGTGTCATAAAAAATTTAAATGGCTAAATCTCCAGGGCTTTTAGAGGACATAGCCCCTGGATCGCACACAGGTCAGGCAAAACACCAACCCACCCCTCTCGGACCAAAGTTTTTGATTGTTCCTGAAAAAACAATTCTGCAGTGAGTAAAGACAAATACTATCCATAGAAAAACAAATTATAGAGCATGTACTTTACAAACATGTGTATTTTTTTTTCTTGACAGGAAGTTGTTTTTTGTCACGTCAGGTTTATTTCTTACAGCATGTGATGATGTGACGTTACTTTAAAAATATCTAGTTATTATTCCAAATCTTTTAAATCTAAAAATTGGTTTAACGAATGTTATTTGCTTTGGAGATATAAACAGAATAATAAAGCACTGCCAATATCTAGGTCTAATAATAAAGTCTTGAAGTATTGCCAGAAGTTTTTTTTATTCCGAGCCCTGCACCAACTGGTGTCGCAATTACCTAACATCCTGTACATGAGGTTCATGAGTCTGCAATGGCACTTGGCCAAAGACACTGTGATCGTCACTCATACACCTGGTATTTTGACAGTTGAGCATGTGTCATTGTCACATGACCTTCATTATCATCTATCAACCTCACGATGAACCTTATTTTTCAAGTTTCCTGAATGTTTTAGAATAAATCTAGGACTCAATAATTTAATTTAGTTATTATTTAATGTATATTTGCCACTGCATTTATATCACACATTATGTACAGTATGTATGTGAGCAAATAGTAACATATATATATATATATATATATATATATATATATATATATATTCAGTATTCAATAAGTTTACATTTACAGTGTATGGATGGAATGTGCATCATGGTGCATTTTTTTATACTCATTTTAAATCTTTTAAATCCATACCGTTACGGGTCTATGTTACTAAATCTCCTATTTCCATTTTCAATTATTTTAATAATTTGTAAGCCTATTTGTGTTAAAGTGAAAATAATTTCTATTATCAGTCTCAAGTGAAAACTATAGGGGCACTGTTCATTTGAAGCACAATTATATAATATTAATTCATGTTTGCTTATTAGTATCTTTGCAAATTCACCTTTAAAATCAGTGTAAGCTATTAAAAAAACATGGGTCATTAAAGAGGCAGTACTCAATTAGTTTGCACTGGCACAACTTGCACATGGTGGCTTAACATGGACAGATGATGATAATAGTTAAATATATTTTCAATTAAATGCCGACCATCATCTCAAATAGTTTAACATGAATATTCTCTATTCATTAGAGACCATACCAATCACTCACAATAAGTAACTTAAACTTCCTGTGGAGTATTGATCTTTTTTTTTAGAATTAAAAAGGAAGATAAAGTGCCTTGCACATGAGAAATACAGGTACAATTTAAAGTCAGGCTCCGTAGGGAAAAAAAAATTTGATATGTTGTATACAACTGATTTTCCTAAGATACAAAAAGCATACAGGTCTCTCTCCAATTAAAGACCACTTTTGGGACCGGGGTTTCCAAGCTCTTAGCCACTTTCTTGAATTAGAATAATAAAAGACATTTGTTAATTCAGGACCACAGAAAAGTTTAATTGGAGGGGCTATTAATTAGAGGGAGACCTGTATTTGACTAAAAACTTGTGAGTGGTTAATGAGATACAGATTTTTGAATATTTAAAAACTAGGGGAAAAAGATCAGTAACAAACATAACAGATTTTTATCCTCCGGAGCCCGACTTTGAGACAAGGGTCCCAGGGTCAACCTTATGAACTGCCACCGTTGTAACAACCATTCCAACTTATGATAAACACATGGTCATGTAAAACATATTTTTAAACATTTTTTTGTATTTAATAAAAAATATACTATTTTTACATTAGACATAATGTCTGTGTTGAATTAAGAAACTTGACGAATAAAATGCAATTGCTACATTTGTAACATTTGTAAATCCGTGCCAAAAACTAAATTGTATTGTTCTAAATTGGAAATTAATTGAAAAATTAGCAAATACTGTATAGTTTTATTAACTCTAGTTTTTAAAACAGACAGTATATCTCTAAATGGAAGATACATTGTACGTCTACCTGAGATCAGTGGTGGCACCAGTGGTGTGGGGGAATTTCTCCCTGTTACACAGGCCTGGCCCAGGATTAATCAATCTCAGCTTAGCAAATGTCTTATGTCAAAAAAGTTAAGATGTCCCTAATAAATATCTTAAGCTGATTTATTACCCAATCTTGGCTTAAAGATCGTCTTAGATGGTGCCAACGTAGAACCGACTTTCTAATTTTAAGGAATTTTAAGCTAAAGCAATATGGATAAATTTGACTTAAGCAAAAAAATGGACTTAAGACAAATTTAAGCTGATTTCTAGTTTGATAAATCTGGCCCCTGGTCCCAACCCCCGACCGACGCCATGACGGTCTTCAGGCCAAAAATTAAAAAATAATAACTTGCCTATCCAAATAACATCATTTTGATTGTCAATCCCTAATATTTGGGTTTAAAAGCACAATAAGCAAGAAAAAACTATTCTAAGGATTTTTTATGCCAGGACTGGACCAAGGCTCTAGTCGGCCCATTGGTTTCCACACCCTACCACCCCCATCGGGCATCTTGGCCCATATAAGTGCCCCCCCCCCAAGGCTCTGTTCACACTGTCTAGTTTTAAGTGACAATGAAATGTCCTCGATCAGTGTTACCCAAGACTTTTATACCGTCGACCCAGTTATGTGATATTCAAAATTAAGTTTAGTGAACCACTGACCACTTAAGCACAGATATAGCCTTCAGTATAAGTCGGGAAGAGCTAGGCCTATATTGTGCTTACAGCTGTGCTTATATTGTGCCAACATGTTTCATTTTAGTGTATTTTACCCATGCTGGTTTTAGTCTATTTTATTATTTTACCAAATATGTCATTATTATTATTATTAAATTTTAATTATTCAAATCTGTTTTATATGGTCAAGTTTAACACTGAATATGATTACAAAATAACACGTTTTCATGTATATTAATGCGGATGTAATGATAGTGGCAGACTAGAGCTAGTTAATTTTTTTCAATGATTTCTGTCAACTCCGTTATCCACCAAAATACTTTGCTGACCCATTGGTGGGACACGACCTACAGTGTGTAGAACTTTGACCTAGACCATGGGGTCTAAGAACATACAGAACGTGACAAGTACCTGTGATTTACCCATATATGGTATGGTGTGATATGAAATCACCCATGACAATATACAGATGTATCAGAGATATCTCTCACATTGAACTTAGTGTGTGGACAAAGCTTTGCATGAATCAGAATTTGAACTCCTTTATTTGAACTATTTATAATACAAAACTAGTACACTTTAATACAGTAGCTCTTTATATTTTCAAGATCAATTATTTTTTATTAACGGTATTTAAACACATTTATATTAATATATATAGCACAATATACTGTAAACAAAAGTGTTAAAAATAATTTCTTCAATTTAATAATTACATGGAATGATTCTTTCAGAAAATTTATGCTTTATAATTCATGTAAAAAATCAATTAAATTAACAACTCTTTCAATATACAAATAGTTATATTCATAAATCTATCTTACCTCCACTAGTGTCTCAATGTTCTACAGTCCTGCTACTGCATAGACTACATAAAGTTCTTTCAATGTGGGGAAGTCCATAAAAAACCAATAAAACTTGTATTTTGTTGTTTAGCATAAAAATGAAAACAGTGTGTAAATAGCTGGAATATTCACACATAAAGATTCTGTGAAATAGCCAAGACCATTTTGAGGTCATCGCATTCAATCAGCCTAAACTTATAGGTAGACTTGCTCCCTGAGCTTGGCCCCCTGCCGAATAACTTAAGGGGCTTCAAGGTACTCAAATTCACATTGACCTTTACAAAATATCCTTACCAGGTTGTAAGCATATTTGGAAGATAGATCTAAGACTTTCTCTTTGTATCTAATCATTAGTCATAGTTACAAATCCAACAAAAGCTCTCGAAATCCCTCTATTCAGACTATCTCTCACTGTGCTGACATCTCAAGAGTTCTGATTGTTGGCTAGTTTTAACTGGCTTCCGTGGTTACCATCCTGCTGGTTGCTGATTGGCTCGAGACAGTCTCTGAGAGTAGTCATACAAAGCCTATAGTGGAAAAAAAAATTTATTTCAAATTTGGAAAATTCTGGTTGATACAAAAATTAAATATAAGAATACAACCAATATTATTTTACCATTAAGCAGTTCAACTAACACTGCTTTGCACAGACAATTTAATATAAGTTATTAAATTAGTTTGAACATCCATAAATTCTGTTACTCATATACATTTGCTACTGTTTTGATATTGCTTGTAGTTTAGTAGTCTAAGGATGACTGAAACATCAATACATTAAAAATTTGGAATTTCTTCAATAAACCAATTCAGGGCAAGACTTTTTATATATAGCTTGGTGAACCCAACACCTGTTGATAATGATTTCAAATAAACATAAATTTTGGCATGTTAACACACACGCTGCTGTGAAAATATGGACATTTTTTCATAACTTTATTTTATCATGCCAACTGCTACCATGAAAACTCTTTTATAACAATTAAAAAAAGTATTTATCAATTGGAATAATGAAATGTTTACATGGCAACATCACATTATTTACAACTGTTGTAGGATCTCGAGCAAGGTCCTAAGGCAATACTTTTTTATCTCACTCATTTCATTTATTTGTCAACATTTAATTTCTATTTTCCCCTCTACCAAGATGGTTTTGGCAGACCTGTTTTTTACCGAATGACAAAACTTTTATCTTTTATCCTTCTCCACAATCTAAAAAAAATAGTATTTGTTAAAAAAGTTATAAAAAAAAAGTCTCACAAATAAAATTCAACAGTACTGTAGGCCTGTGTTACTCACCTGATAAATGTAATTGTACTGCAGGGCATTCTCAACACCACTCCCTCTAGCTCTCCTCACCATGCAAGTTGTCCGTGGCACGTCAACATGTGTAGTGTCCTCCAGCTCACGCATACTAATGTCTATGGCAATTAACGCACCAGTACGGCCTGCACCATCACTACACAAGAACAAATGCATATTAAGTGCGTTTTTTAAATCTCTTATATAAAGGTGTAATTAAAAAAGTTTCATGACCTTATGTAATTATTCATTTTGAACAACATTTCTATGCTTGTCAATAATGTAAACATCCTGATTTTGGTATTCTTCATTGGCCGTGATTCGATTTATTTTCTATATGCCATAATTAATTTAGTGCCTATGTACTTGTTTTACAAGTTGTACAGTACATAAAACAATAAGATAAAAACATAAATTAATAGAATTTTTGAATGATGATATTATTTGTTTCATATTGATTATTGTCATATATTTTAAGATTTCTTCAATCTCAACAAATATTCCAAGGTTAAACAATTAAATTATGATGATTGAGTTTTTTACTGTGTTTAAAAAATAGATAAATTATCATTATGTTTGCACATTTCAAAGAGACTGTTATTAATGATAAATACATATATATATGAGAGCAGCTTAGCTCAGTCAGTTAATCTGGTGGTGGTCACTGTGTGTGTGCTGAACCGTGAAGATCTCTAGGTTTCCGGTTCAATGCACATCGGTGCCTCTCCTTGTGTTTCAGCTGTAGGGCTGAAATGCAAGTTGCAATAGTGCACTGTCTTTCGGATGAGATGTTCAAGCCGTTGGTCCCATGCGCATTTATAGCTAATGTGCATGTTAAAGAATGAAGTACACTCTTCGGAAAAGAGTAGGGGTAGTGTACTGCCAGGTCCTAATCATCACCAGAAAGACCCCACTGAAAATAAGTCTTCTAGACTTTTGTGGGCTATCCTTGGTGTTTACACCAAATAAATATAATCCAACAGGAGCACAACTTGTGAAATATTTGAATTCATTTGTAATGTAAAGTAGTTGGCATATTTTACATCTACAAGCATTTGTTGACTGTTCGAAGTTGCTTATGATAAAGCATAATGCACATGATGTTAGCAAACAGGTCAAGCCTCATCTGCAGAACTACAAGGAGTCATAAAACACCATACACTAAAAAGTTATGGTGAACTTTACCTGCAATGTACTACCATTGGTCCTTGGTTTTCAGTGGTACTTTCCCGTATGTGTAACAGGAGGCCAGTGATATCTGCGGGGCTACTAGGAACCCCTTGAGTACACCAGCTACTGAACCAATAATGGCAAACTGGTCGACATAGGTTCTTCTAAATGGAAAAAAACATGAACAAGGAGTTGCTATTGTATTAGAGTTTAATACACATTACCATTTCTGTTCAGACACCAATGTCAGTTCAACAATTTTAAATTTTGAACAAACAACCTATTCCTGGATATGTTCTAGTTAAACACTGTAAATTCTCAGTCCTAAAAAGACAGAAGAATTTGTTGTATTGAATTTAATTTGTTGTATTGAATATCATTGTACATTGTAAGGCCCATACAAAATTATTAGAACAATAGGGTATGCATACATAAATGGTAATAATACCATTTGTGCTTTTTAGCTCAGTCGGCTAATCTGGTGGTAGCTGACACTGTGTGTGTGCAGAACCGGGGAGATCTCTAGGTCCCCGGTTCAATTCCCATCACTGCCTCTCCTTGTGTTTCAGCTGGAGGGCTAAAATGCAAGTTACAATAGCGCACCGTCTTCCAAACGAGACGTTTAAGCCTTTTTTTCCGTGTGCATTTATGGCCCATGTGCACGTTAAAGAACACAATACAATCTTCGGAAAAGAGGAGGGGATTGTCTCCCGTGTACTGCCATATCACCACCAGAAGGACCCCACTGGAAATAAGTCTTCTTCTAGACTTTCGTGTACTATCCTTGGTGTTTACACCGAATAAATCCAATCCAATCCAATTCACTCAGATTGTGTTTGTTACTGAATATTAATTGGGTTAAATAAAAGATTTGACCATTGCTAATCATTTACTCTTTAGTTTAGTCCACACTATCTTTATGTAATGTGATATGTCCATATTTGGGTGTAATATGACATCATCATGCCCATAAATGGGCACATCATACATATTTTCAAATAAAATTTGATTTAAACTTCACAGTCATGATCTCACCTCTATATCTTTGACAACAAGGTTTGAAACTGTGTGGTGTTCAGTGGAGGTCACTTCTTCTAAACTAACAAGTATATCACCAAAGAGAAGAGCACCCTCCATCCCACGATTCTTTGGCCAATACTGCAGCAAATTCTGATGAATTAGAAATGAAGAAGGATAAAAAAATGCTAAATATTTCTACCGCAGAATTAGTTAGGTTTTTTTTTCAATTAATTGTCTTTCGGCAAAAGAGGAAACAGAACGCAAACCATTCTAAGAACATTTTAGAGTAATGTTGTAGTTTATACAGTACTGTAGAAACCTGTCTGTCAGGCTTAGGAAAAAATTTGAATATATTTATGATATATTTTGATTAATTTATATAGCTATTTATAAAGTTTCAAGACAGAAGCCATTACAGCGCTAGTACACATCCCAGAGATGTTAGCCAAGATCCATTTCATTACAGAATAAATGATATTATAACACGCCTAAACAGATCCCTGTCATTTGATTGGTGAATTTCGTATCACGTGACATTTACCCCATTTTGTCACTCACCATGGAAATATTTTTCCATCAATGCTATTTCTGTTCATCCTTTTTTGACCTTGTACGGTGCTTAGGATACGACATGACTTCAACCTAACACAATCTCTTGATTGGTTAAAGAGACGCTAGACTGTTCTATTTAGAAAAGGTTAGATTTTTTTCATAAAGTATAAAATAACAAGACTCTCCATTCAGAAAAACAGGAAGATATTTTTCATAAAATATCAAATGACAAAAATCTATTTTAGTGTGTTATAAAACAAATAATTAATGTTTTTTAATCTCGCAATTAAAAAATGGAAAGAATATTTTCATTCATTGAAAGACTGACTGTTCCATTCAATGGAATGGAACAGTCAATCTTTCAATATTCTTCCCATTAAGCTCATAAACATTCATTATTTGTATAATATTCAACTCATCAATTTCATGATGTACAGCTCACCTTGCCAATTTCATCAGGTGTACAAAGCATGACAATGACACGAGACTGTTGCTCCCAAACCATGTGCCAGAAGTCTGCGCATGTGTTGCTCAGTGGAGCTTGTGTAGCAATGTACGCAACATTTGATGACTGGTACCCCTGCATTAAGAAAAAAAAAATCACAAATAACTGTAAGTATATGTGGCAAAGACAAGCCAAACCAGTCACTCGTTGCAAAAATCGATTTTGAGTTCTTAATACAGTGTTAGAGAGTAAAATAATAGATATAAAATGGTAAAAAAATCATTCAAATCGGACATTTCCT